TTTGGATCGCATTCAGGAAGCTTTACTGACCGAATGCTCGGACGCATCCTGATCTGTAATAAGATCATTCGTGAAGTACTACAATTGTACGAAACGTCAATGATGTATTAATCATGTTCGGAAAATGCCTATTTATCGGAAAAACTTTCGTATCGGAGAGAAATTGACAAAAAATTTCCAAACATGTAGAAAGTGTTGAAAAAGAATTTCAAAAGTAAAACGCATAGTCGAAAAATTCCTAACTATCCGTAAAGCTTGGCACTTTAAGAGTGACCAGAAGTTAAATAAATATTCCTACATTATTCTGCATATATTCAGCTGCCTCGGACAGCAAAAATTTGGCAACATACGTAAAATTCCAAAACTGACGTTTGCTTCGACAGATCGGGCGAATACTTTACTGTCGCGTGGCGACGGTCGTCCGTCTAACCTTTTCATGGAGGAGTGTGCGTGTGTTAGTAAGAAAAGATGGGTAAAACTTGATTTTGCCATTCTGTGCATAAATCTTCAATTAATCCTCGTTTGCTATCGCGGAGTCAGATCAAACTTCATTGGTTCATGTATTTTCTACGTATAAAATAAAAATATCCTTTTTCTACAATGTATTAGATAACATTAATGACATCGATTAATTTGAAAAAAACAAGGGAAAATAAGCCGTGTTATCAGGTAGTGTCGATTTAATTATTCAAATCGAGAAATATTAGTGTAATTTGTTATTATCGCAATCGTCTCAGTAGGATCGCATTACGGAGGCGAATAAACGAGATCGGTTCACAAATGGATCGTTTATTCGAACCCGATGACAATCAGCGGCCCGATCAAATACGAGGTCAGCGATTTAGAAAGTCGAGTTTTACATCGCCGAGGTTTACGATGAATAATTACACGGCTACTTATGTAATCGAACAGTTAGAATCTTATCAGGCCCTGTAATACGCGCAATCTACGCGCTTCGTTAATTGTCGGGAAACATACGACATAATGCATGAAAAATATACATATTTCTTCGACAGAAATATTTCTTCTTTTAACCTTCATTTTTAATAATAAATAGTTTCCGATGTGTTTTGTTCTATTGCGGAAATACAAAAATTTGTAACAACGTGAATGCAAATATAATAATATGCAGGGTATCCTATAACGGTTGATTCGACCGAAAGGGAGTATCTCTACGGGCAAAACTAAATGACAAAGAAACAGCCGAAGTTTATCTAATCGGAAATAGATTAGAATATAAAAAAAAGGAAGAATTCAGTTTGAAGGTTGTTCAAGTTCTTCCGCACTTATTGTTAGTTGATTACCAACAGAACGTGTTTACAATGTGGGATAATACTAGTATTTATTCAGATGTTATACAGTAGTATGGCTAGAATACATCGATCAGACGCTGCATTCCTCTGCTTAGCTATGTACTTATTGTTAGTTCGTCGTTTACGCATAAATATGTTGTGTGACATTGAAGCAAGTCAAAACTTAGATCCCTGTCCCTGTGCGCAAACGATGATTATACGCAGACACTCGTGAGATATTAATTTAAATAGGTTATCCTAATTGATTTTCTTGATGCGAAACAAAAGTTTCTCTAAGTTAGTATTACAGACAGTTACATTCACGTGACTTTTCTCGTATGTTTATTATTTTACGTATTTGTAGTGCATTTTTACTTTACATCTGTTTTGAAATATATCTGATGAAACGACAGAAATCTTACGTCGTTTGTCTCCAAGCAACCATTACACTTGTCAGCGTTATATACATATACCTCACATACAAATATATTCTTCGAAAATCTGCAACAGTTTAAACGCGAAAAATTGGTCTTGAAGCGGATTTCGGTTTTGGTTGTGGCCCTGATCCAAATGTTGGTCCCAGTTCGAGTTTCGATCCAGATTCTGATGCTGATCGTACGCGCGTTGCAACCACGTATTCGTCCTGTCGACAATCGCGATCCGAATAAAAGAAGAGCACTTTGCGGGTTCTCAGACGAGGGTGGATTACTGCCAGATAGCGGCGGTGTCGTGGAGAATGATGTTGTGGTCGGCGATGGCACCTGCGTGAACAGCGGGGTGCATCAACATCATCAGCAACATTTCCAACGTCACCGTTACTATCGAGAACAGCCGCAGCTAGGGGATCACCGGCAACAATACCAGCAACGACAGGAGGAGGAGCTGGAGGATCTGCTGTGCTTTCGTGGACCATCGGCTCAGGAGATGGTGGCCCAAGAAATGGCACAAAGTTACACGCAGCTCCTTCATCCCAGTCAGGAGCCGCAGGAGTTTATCTCCTTGGAGGAACTACAGCCGCGTATTCACCAAGAAAATCATGATACCCGCGGCCAAGTCGTCACCGGAATGTCATCCACTGGTGCCCAACTCTATCATCAGCATCAACCTCCGCGCTGTTACTATAGTCTCTCGGCCGTTCAAGAGTAAGTGGAAAATCCATGCGTTGTTGTCGTGTTGAACGCGTTCGTTGTCAAAAGGTTTGTCGTTTCTTCGAGTTAGATTCTACGAGATCAAACAATTAATAAAGAGTTTACATGCAAATATTTTTTGACGTTTAGCTTTATAGTTGTATAGGACCCTTATAACAGATAAGTGTAAAGGGCGTAGAAAAGTCCGTAGAAAATTAATCTTGACCTTCATGTTCAAAGTCGATATTTCTTCCTTATTGCAATGTATTCGAATTCTTACGAGGAAAACGAATGTTAAACAAATTAATATTTATTATATAAATAATAATGACAATCAAATTTTCGAGATCCTTTTACGTGTAATCTGCTTATATCCTGCTGTCAGCTGTAACACACCGTGAACAGTGTTTGACCCATATTATTTTGACTTTAAGTTTATGACCTGCCCCGTAAAACTACAATATCCTGCTAATGGACTATTTCGCGTTTGGCGATATGGATTAAACACTGTCCGCGATATATTGTTTCACTCTGTGATATGAATGGGTTAAATAGCAAGGTATTTGTCTACTACAACGGCACCTACCCACAATTCTCGCCATATCTGACCGCAGAATAGAAACATGTTAAATACACATCAAGTGATCTCGAGAATTTATTGAAGTTTAACATTGTTCCTCAAGAAAATGGTCGAATTCTGAGCCATCGTTCATTTTAGATCTTTTTCGTCGTGGTGAGCAGAAAGCATACATTGCAATAAAAAAAGCTTGATCCTGAAAACAAGAGTTAATGTCAATTTTGAGTAGTCTTTTGTTACGGTTCTTCACCGACCCACAAGCGTAGAATCACTTTAAGGTGCTTTTTACACTTATTTTTTATACACCCTCTACGCAGTTTTATATTCCCAATGTTCCATTGTCACGTATACGTATTAGTGTTTTCTTGGGAGAAATCGGATCGATGTGCACAAGGAGATAACCAAAATTTCGAATATTCCTGTAAGATAAATTATAGGTGTCAAAACAATAATAATGAAGATCATACAAATGTGTAGGTAGTGTTATATCGATGATTAATTGAAGCTTGTATCTGTTACAACCAAACGTTGGACTGATTCGTCACACCACCTTACAAACCGAAAGTACACAGAGGCAAGGAGAAATGTCTATCTGCTATGCTCGGGATACTTAGAAGATGAAGATATTAATTATCATCTTCCGTGAAATCAGTATTTTAATTCTTTTCTTACTGAAGATTCTAATAATCAGCTAGCGTCAAATATGTATTGTATGTTAAGGGGTGATTGTCTTGAAGGGTTATCTCTCACCGATGAGCGCTTCACGCATCACACATAATTATCTTCAGACATTTCTATTATTAAACAACTTTGATTGGATTTGCCTTTGACATTTGATTCTCCTGGAATACACGTGCTTAGAATTCGGTACATATTTCCTTTAACACGTTAAATCCCAACCAAATCGAATTACTATAGTTCGTTCAATTAAACGATGATTATTTGAAAACATTTCTATATTATAAATAATGCTACCTAATGCGGTGCCATTCAGCTATATCAATGTGCAATAATAATAATGCAATTCAAACAAGTGATTCAATGTTATATTTCTGTCATTTTGTGTATTTTGCTTATGAAATCCTGCGGCATTTAACGTGTTAATTCAATCGTAAGGATTCATGAAAGGAAGAGAGTTTTGCGTTTTCTAAAAGCAAATAAGCTTTCCCTGAGCAAATTTTGTCTATGCGAATATAAACACATTCGTTGGTAACTTATCTGGCTGGATTCACATCGGATGTCGAAGTTTCTTTAATTCAACACTAACTGCTGAAAGACAATATTTTAATAATGTACATAATACTCCTTTGAAATAGGAGGGTACATGGTACAAAACAGGGGATCGATCGGTCACGTTAGTAATAAATATATTAAAATGCACGTATATTATAATATTCACGCAGTTACAAAGTATTTCTATTGTTTTCCTCGTAACTGGTAAATAAGCAGGTACCTATTTAAGTACCGTTGAAAGTTCACGTGATGGCTAGGCTGAAGAATGCGGGTCTGATTGGTCGATTTCCATCTTATTTACGATGCTAATTTGCTATTCATCGTTACGGTTACGCGTGACCGATTAAAACCAGAAAGAACACAGCGAAAGACCTCCGCCCCTTTGCCCTTGGAACGTCCTGTTAGACATCGAGTCATCTCCCGACACGTTACAACGATACAGGGTACTAAATTCATAACAGAGTAGAAAGTTGTATTCGTTACAAATAATGAAATAACATACGTAAGTTTTGCATATTTCTCTTAGTTTTAGTACAAATGGACGTAGCTTTGCGGCCTGCTGTGTACCGTAGAATCAACGTATTTCGTAATGAATCATTCATACATGGTTAAATTAATCCTTGCGGACGAAGGTTCTTTGAAATGCACAAAACCTTCGGCGGATAAAGTGAAATTACATATCGATTGTTTAATTAACAGGAAAACAGGAAAATACGTGCTGATCTCTTGCCGTTTCACTAATTACATCGTTTGTTCGCGACTTGTTCTTCCAAATATGAACATCTGATCTCGCCGGAGTGTCGACTGTTCGTCCGCGAAGAGTTAAGTGAAAATCAGGTTTATTTACTTGCATGATCTTTCAAAGAATCAGACTCATTCAAAGCGAACTTTATTCTCGGAAGTCCGTATCTGAGAATAATGTAAATCTTACCATATTTTGAAGAACACTACCGTACGTTATTTCAGTTGATTTGATTCAGATAATATGAAGTCGTGTAGCATGAAATGTCGGGTTTTGCGTGGAAAAAGTGAAACCTTGTTTCATGTTCTAAAAGACGTTTATTCAATGAAAATATGCTCCATTCGATTCGACACGCTTCTGCCAACGTGTTTTCAACGAGTATATTCCTTTCTTAAAAAATTCTGAATCTTTAGCATAAATAAATTCTAAAGACATCATATCGCAAAGAAACATCATCGGAACGAAATTTTGCGAATCAATGCTGCACCGTTCTTTCATTCAGTGTTATCTTGAAATGCTTTGCTTATATTTAACTGTACGCGATATTTATGTATACTATTCATTAGCGAGATTGCGTCGAAAAGAAATTCTTATCGTTATTTTATTGTTGAGTTTTTATCGAATGCTGTTCGTTTTATATGACAAATTTCGTTTAACCCTTTGCGGACGAAGATTCTCGAAAGTATGCAAAACCTTCTGTAGATTCTGCCAAATCACACATCGAATTCTTGAATAATATAGGACAAGGAAATTATGTACTGGTTTCTTGCTGTTTGAATAGTGGAATCATTTGTTTGCAACTTAGTATTACAAACATAAAAGTTTGATCTCGGCAGAGTGTCGATGTTCGTCCGCAAAGGGTTAAAAGGCTTAACCACGAAAGTGAGTACTTGTTTTTTTATAGGTACAATGTTTCATTTAACGCTTAAATTCTTAATTGTGCGTAGTCACTGTGAATTTGTAATATATGATAAAGCAAGTTGCACTGAAAGTGCTAATCTCAGAGAAAAAATACTGATTTCGTGCAGATTATAGAAATGCTTAATCATTATTGGTTTGAACATTTTTAATTTCAATTCAATTGCCGTTGCACGGCGAGTTATGCATTTTTTAATGTGTATGAATTCTTACTTATTTTACATTTCGATCGAATAACGCGAAGTAGAAATGAACGTGATTGCATGAACAAGCATGCTTATTCCACTGTCCTCGCGTTACACGTTTTTAACTATTTATCAAATACAATTGTTACCGATGCCCTCGCGTTAGCCAAGCTAACCGAAGGTTTCAAAGTGCTAGGGAGCAAGGCGACTCTTCGGCGCGCGACAATAACAAAGGACGGAAGCGAGACCGAATGCGACGGAGTGAGAATTGATGGAATTATAGAGAATTTTCTTTTCTATCGGTGAAATAGTGAAATACATTGGTTATATTTTACAATAATTATACCATCTTGCAGATATTGCTTATTTTATTCTGTACCTCATACACGTAACAGGTAAGATACACATCTTCTTCAGTTTATTTCGATTTATACTCACAGCAGTATTTAATTAATTTGAAACGAGACATACAGAATTTTAAGATTTTCCGAGACGTAACTATTGATTCTCCCATTGATACGCAGAATCGAAAGACGAAAAAAAATAAACATTTTCTTGTCCAAGCCGGGAAATCGTGGTGGTGGTGTTCTGATAATGGTTCAAAGCTTTTAAGTATTTTAACGAGGCCTTCTGTTTTAGCTATTTCCTGCATTATATTGATGGTTTAAGTTATTTAACCGTTTCACTGCTGAATGTTTTGCCAAAATTGCGAAGAGCGCGACAGCACTCCTTTTTTGTTCGTTAAAAATTAATTTGCTCTATTTGTAAAAAGGGAATTCACACGCTTCGCATAGCAAACCACTCGTGTAAAGGATCATAAAAAATTATTTTTGTTAATTTGAGTGAATTATAAGTGCTTTTTACTAATTTTATCCACAGAATGAATTAAAACAAATTTAAGTAAGTAAATGGTATTTTTACAAATTTTTGTTATTGCAACGCAATATAAGTGAGTTTATCGTATGAAAAGTGTTTTCCATTTTTTCCTATACACGCGCAATTAGTGCCGCAGTTTTGGCATATGTCCGAAAAAATCCGTCAGCAGCCAAACGGTTAATATTAGGGATACTATTTCTGTATCATCGTAGTCGCTATAAATACGCCTGTAATATGCGTTGCGTATGGGAATCAGTGTATCCAGTATAAAAATATCACACGTCTTGTCAATATTTGATTTCTACATTGGAGTTCTAGACGGCTTCGGTCCAAGAAAATGTTTGTTTCTTTTCGTCCTTCAGTTCTGCGTATCGGTGGGAGGGTCAATAGTTACGTCTTGAAAAATCTTAAAATACTCTTATGTCTCGTTTCAAATGATTAAATACTGTCATGAATATAAATCGAAATAAAATAAGCAACATCT